GAGAGAGAGAATGAGAAATATAAAGGTTTAAGGTTTTATGTATTGAATATAATTTTCATTCGGTTTTTATTAAATGTTATGAAATTATCATTTTTTGCAGTATCTCTAAAAACCAAACGCAATATTTATATATTTTATTCATTTTAAATCTAAATTCGTAATAAAAATAAGAATTTATCAACTTGGTGAACAAACACAGAAATAAATGATGATTTCTATTTTCCAATGGCTTTTTTCATAACCAGTAATACTGTTTTGTTATGCAATACAGTATACAAAACAATTCAGTATTATGTAAGATATTATGTAGAATATTATGTAGAATCTAATGTCTACGCCGGACACGTGTATTATGTATACGTGTAAACACATTGACAGTACATCCCATTGTCGTTAAATGGAAATTATTTGTGATTTGTGTCATAATTTGTGTAAAATGTCTTTTAATCTGCAATTTATTGATTATAAATGATATGAAATCTTTGACAGAGAATAATACGTTGAAACCAAACCATAGGCTAAGAATACTTGATAAGTGGATAATATATGTATCAATCGGTAATTTTAATGATACTTCATAAACAGTTGTCGGTATTGGAAAGGGTTGTATGTCAATTATTAATGTGCCTGGTATATAATCGTGGTCATCATGCCCAGAAATTGTTAAATAATAATGTTTAGTACAATCTATTTTTTCATTGCATTTGTTATAACATTCATCGTAAGTAACGTATTGTTCGGGGCGTAGGAAATACATATCACGTAAGTTATAATCTAGTGTAAAGTTATTATAGTGTGACAAATAAATTAAACATGGTGAATTTATTTTTAGACCATCGCGCAATCCATTATTTACAATACACTTGTGTAGACAGGATTCTGTGGTTTGACCATCATTAAAGCATTTATCATGATAATGGTCAACATTAAATTTGACAATTGTGGGCAAGTACTTAATAGTGACCATGGTGGCATTCGAGTTTAAAATTACTGACGGTGGTCTTTCAAAACCGTAATATTGGTTTTCATTCGGAGAATGCATGTTAAGCCATATATAGCCATTGTCATCAAGATACTTTTTGTTTATATAAATGAAAATTGAGGACTTAACTTTAGTCACCATGGTCAAATAATCGGCGTAAGCACGATAATCATGCTTGTTTTTACCACCAATTCGTGACGATTGTGAAACAATTGTCGTACAATAATGGTAGTAATCAATGGACTCATAGTGTTTGGTACAGTTTGTATAACTTGTGTCGCTATCGCCTTCTCCCTCATTCTCGACATAACAGTTAAACCAATCATTAATTGATATAAATTTATCGAATTGTTCACCGATTGAAATGTTATTGAATTGATCCACAATTGTTGTCCACTCTTTGCCACTCGTATTAAAATGACTGCTATTCAAGACATCGGATGAAATGAGACTAAATTTATCGACACATATAGTAATCGATGGCTGAGATGTTTGTGAGACGTATTCCTCGTGTTTAGTATTAGTTATTGTTTCAAATGATAGATATTTTTCGGTCAATTGATACGTTTGATACAAACATCCCGTAAAACATATGATTAACAGACATATACTTAACAAATTAGAATTTAGTTTGTTGTATAATTCATTAATTAATGCCATTATTTATTGATTCAATAATTAAATTATGAATATATTGAAATATATAGAAATTTATACTGAATAACCTTTTAATGATTGATATTATTTACATTTATTATGTTATAAAGTTATTAAATTTAAATTAATTCGATATATTATTATTAAATTTATTAAATATATCTCACTTTAAACACACAGCAAAGTATATAATAAAATCAATACTTATATCAGATTTAATTCTTTAGTTTTCAACTTTGAATACAAACTGAATAATTATTGTGTATTTAAAAACTTTATTTGAAATATAAAACAATATATTTGGTAAAATAAATGCAAATCTAATTGTATTAGTACATTAAATGTAGTATTTAAACATATAAATTTTATATTAGCAATTAGTATATAACGTGCAAATGTTTTATAAAATGTTTTACAAATTTGTAATACTGTATATAAAACAGTATTTAATTGAGTAAATTATACAAATATTAGTTTAATTACATGTCGATAAATATTGATTAATTTCGGGTTAAATATTTTTCTCTGCAATTTATATATAAATTTTATAACCCATAAATATATATGTTGTTTGCAAAGCAATATCACATTAAATATTATTACAAAACATAACATAATATGTAAATGCTATTAAAATAAAGCATAATATTCTAAAATATAGTAATTATTAACTAAAACAAGTATTATTAAATATAAATACATTTATAATGTATTTACAAATACATTTAATACAGACTAAAGAGCTAGTAAAATTAAAGTTAAGGTTATATAAAGTTATATAAGTTATATAAGTTATACTTTATATTACAAGTTAGTTTAATAATTAATATTTTATTTATTTAAATATAATAATTATTGGAAACACAATTTACTATGTGTTTACTATTAAAACACATAGTAAAATGTTTTAAATATGTATTTGGACTACTAGCTACTTTATAATTGTTATTAAAACTATCATAGTAGGATCAAGGTACAAAATTGTGGGAATATATAATGATGAGAAAAGCGGTTTGATCACCGAAATAAAGCAGAGGGTTAGTAATTAGAAAGGCTTGACATGTGAATACTCGGTGCATTTTTTCTCAATTTACTAAATAAAAATATTTTTTTATTATATTTTTTATTATTTTTTCATGAATAGCATTAAAAACATTGAAATTTAAATGCAGTTGTTTATTAGTTATGAATTTACATAAAGTGCTAGATTAAAACATAAGAATTTTATTAATACTGTATTACTAATGTAATACAGTATTAGTGATCTAAACTATTGTATATTATGTATTACCAAATCTCATCATCATGTCTATTATCTATGATCCTTACAATAAACTGAAACAGATAAATAAATATGGTCATTATTAAATTATTATGCAGGCAGTTTTGTTTTAAAAATAAACTAGAAAGCGAACATTTCAGCCAAAAGTATCGTTGGATAAATTCGTGCTTGATAAAAATGATTGGTCTGAAGACATACAGGATTTTGTGCGTTATGAAAAACAATTAATGGCATGCTCGTTTTTTGGCTATAATGCAACTAATTGGGTTGGCTATCCCAGTGATTATGTGCCCGCGCGTATTCGGTATAAATTAATGCATATGCCTGATAAAAAGCCAACCAGAACAACAGGGTGACACGCACGTGTGCCACATCCGCGATATTTATCTAAACCAAATGCGTTTATTTTTTGTTTGTCTTTAATAAACTAAAATTATTTATTATATTTACCATGTACAATATGCTAAAGTTTGATTTTTTTAACATTTACATTATTTAAAACACCGAAGTTATGGCCAAATGTCGAACCACATGCATAGGGCTGAATGCACTGAAAGTTGGCCATTCACGTGAGTAATGCCATTCATCAAAACTGTATAATGCTATAAGGCGTATGCATGTGTCTAGAAATATGACCATAACTTCGGTGATTCTGGCCATTCGCGCGTTCTGACGATTGTTTGTTAATCTCCATACAATACTGGACATTACCATATCAACCACGACCGGATCAGTTAAGAGATATTCGCATTTTCCCCATCTTAATAGCTTTTACGTAGCTCATAATAAAATGTACTTAAATATACTTTATATACAAAAGTTACATAATTGGATTATCTCTTTAACTTTACCAACTTTATTATGCTTAATTAGCTTTAATATAAAATTAGCGTTATTAAAAGTATGATTACAAAATAAATATTCAAAACAGTTTTTATTCAAACAATGTGATTTATTAAAAAAATGTTTTTATTTAAATTGAATTACAATATGCTTCAACATGAAAATAAATTTTTAATAGAATTAGAGTTGAACACCTGCTATGCAATTGTGTTTGTAATAATAATTATTTTATATGTAAATTTAAATGGTTTTATTTAATAATTAAAACATAATAATTTATTAAAAAGTTACATTATATTAGTAGATGGCTGATCACTCATCTGCCGTAACATATTCTAAAACGTGTAAATTGTGGGGAAATAATTGTCCTCTCGTTCTATGTTTAACATTCGCTAATTGCCGAAAATCGTCGATATCTGTCGCATACGGTGTGAAATTTATAGTTACCCCCAACGAAGTACAACATTCGGTCAGCCATTCGACGCATCGCACGGCTACTCGGCATACAATTTCTACCATCCCTACCACCGGTCCCTTCCCTACCGTCGGTCACAATCTCGGTGTAAATTTTAATGATAGAACATTCATAGACCTGAATGCGGGCAACAATTTGTCGCATACCGTCGGATACGGTAGAGCCCGGCGCCAGTCGTGTGGTGAGCGCCACCACATTGAACATGTTGGCCAAATTGCCGCACTCCTGGCGGTACTCCTTTTCAAACGAGAACATGTCGTTCACGCATATCATGTGTTCGCAACACACGCGCACATATCGCTGCCATAGGGGTGACGCCCACTCGGCGGCGGTCATTCCCGGCCTGTCGGTGCCGCCCACGCCTTCCACGTACTCGCTGAGCATCATCAATTGTTGCGTACCAATTGTATGCATGCGAATCTGTGTGGACAATAAAATTGCACTTTATGTCAAATGAATACCATGTTTACAGTTTATCATTACAACTTGATCGTAAAATTTTGTCATATTTCCCCTGTTTTCAAGAAGATTAAATATATTTCCTATCAATGATATATTCCCGGAATATATTCTACCGCAGAGGGAGGTGTCTAACATTATTTATAATTAATAATTCTTGCATTTAAAATTCGAAATCATTTAGTTCAATTGAATTGATAGAACGTTGCAACATTGAAAAGTTGTTATGAATGTTGATTCACACAGAACACAGTGCATTTCACCACAAGTAGCTTTATATTTGTTAAATGCTATATATTTATTTCTAATTTTGTCCATAATTCGGTCATTTCTGGCCGTTGACAGATTATCTGGATAGAATATACATTTATGAGCCGTACTGAACATATCCGTACCAATTAGAAACGTTTAGGCAATTTGTAAGTCAAAATTTTTCTTAGCAATATGAATTAACTAATTTACTATAAAAGGCTATAATTTATGGCATGCAAAATAATAAGCTAAGTAAGATAAACTACATTATTCATGCAAACAAATGTGCATCATTTTGTTAGCCTTATTAATATATTTAATAATAAGTACGTACATCAAATATTTGCTTTACACTGGTCAGTTCGTGTAGCCTAGTCTTGATGAGCATAGTTTCGGCCACATTGGCCGCGCCGTACGGCCGCCATAAGTCAACAAATCTGCGTCTTTGAATCGGATCTAAATCAATCGCAACGGCGTCTAAAGTAGCGTAAGTGCCCACCAAATAGGGCGCCCAGTTTGTCATGGGTACCGGTGCCGCCACCGGATCCTCTAGTTTGTCAATCATTGATTCCCATTCGGCCCAAAATGATTCGCATAAATCTAGGCGCCGGCCCCGGCCGTCACCCCAGCTTTCTTCGTATTGATCATCCAAAATGAACATGGTGATAATTATTTTTGATGTGTTTGCATACCTAATTTTTAATAAATATTATAAATCTATATAAATAATAATAAATACAGTAATTATGGTAAGTAAGGCTAACAGAAAGCTGCACCTTTTCTGCAACTAAATGCTAATGGTAATTTTGTGACATAGTTTAAACATGGAAAAAATTTCCTATGGTTAATCAAAATATAAACGAAAGCGTAGTTATTACTATGTTAAGTGGAACTATGGAATTTATCCATTTTTATATTTGCTAGTTAAGATAATGTTATTTCATTGGGATAATGCTAATTTTATGTTATAAAAAAATTTATTTATTTAATTGTTTATAAAAATATTATAATTCTGAAAATTAGTTTTATAATAATTATGGATTAAAAGTTCAGTGAGATATTATAAATAATCTTATTGAAATATGAAATTTTTGTTTTGTAATTGCACACTTTTAATTATTGAGACATTTAATTATGATATTTATAAATTATAATCTAAAATAATTTCTAAAAATTGTATAGTTAAGAAACTTAAAAATGTCATATTCCTATCAAATTCGTATACAGTAGTATCGCTCCACACATAAAAATATTTTGACACTTAATGTAAATACAATATTTAAAATGAATGACTCATAGGTGAGAACACCGGCACTCATTTACCTATTGGGCAGATCTTGACGGCCGAAGGGGTAGACAAATGCGGAGAATTGGCCGAGACTTGCGAACGCGTCGAACCGGTTGCGCGACACCGAACTGTACGGATACACCCAATTGGCCCACGAGTACAGCAGGTGCTCAGCGCTCACGTCAATTGGGT